CTTGCTATCAGTCCAACCTACTTTTAATCCGAACAAGGTTGAATGAAAATGTTTTGTCAAATGATTTGACACTCTACTATTTTTCTCTATCCTTGTTCTTCCGTTCAGTCACACAAATCACTTCAGTTGTTGACTGTTAATTGCTGACTTACTGATTCACCCGTTTCTCTTAACATTAGTTCAACCTGTTTTTAGTCCAAAGAAGAATGAATAAAAATGTTTTTGTCGAATGATTTGACCTCCATTATCTTGCTATTTTCTTTTTTTGCCGTTCAGGCGCACAACTCTGATAAGTAGTTGACTCACAGTTTCACCTGCTTCTCTTTCCATCTTTATATCCTCTGAATGCCTAATTCTTAACAGCTCACTATTCAATTGATGAAATTATTTGAATTCTAGAAAAATCACTAATGAATTTAGTGCAGTCTTAAACAATTCAGGTAACTTGTTCTACTTCCGTGTGTGTAATTTGAGCAGACATTATAGAAGTGGTCGATTGCATCTTCATAGCATTCTGACTCGAAAATTGCTTCAGAAGTGCACAATAATTTCTGGACCAATTCCCTTTCCTGTGTAATTTTTTCGACAATGTCACTGATAATTTGTTTTATCATACCACGTTTGTCAAAATAAGAATTAAAATGATTAATAGTATATTTTGGCATAATGAAAGATGCCTTCCAAAAAGTTAAAAATGTATAAAGTTGAAATTTCTAAGGGTTGATAATGAAGAAATAGTTTCCTATGCCCCCTCGTTCTGTTTTAGTGGGTGGGGTCTTGCTGACGGGTTCGATTCACTCATATGGACGTCGCTCTAGCCATTCTCTCAGGATTCACTAACACACACACACACACAACACACAGAGAACACATAGACGGTGATCGCTTGCTGTTTTTACTTGGAGATAAAAGAGAACATCAACATAGGAATTTTAACTTATCTATTTCTTCATAAGACAAACAAGCCATGGGGTTACATATATTAACTGGGAAGATAAAAAGTTCCCAAAACGAATTAATTGTTCATATTGACATTTAAACTTAATGTGGTGAACGAGAAGGTTTACAGAACATTGCATCCAAAGAAAGGAAATTGGCGGTCTTACCTTAACGGTCGGCAGATATTGATTTGAATGAAAATGGTTTTCTTTCCGTCAGCAGCAGTATGCAATAACGAGGGTTTTTGACCAGTAACATGAATTCGAACACAAAAGCAACTGTGGAGGAGGCTATTTTTGGGGGTAGCTGAGAATAAAAGGCGAAGAACCCTGATTGGTTGGTCGACCGCATGATTGTCATACCTTATTAAAGTATGGTGGTTCCTCAAAACTTAGACGGAAGAAAAACGTCTTTTTAGTCTTCCAGTAGCACAGGGATTCTTTTATTAGCATTAGTGTAGCCATTGATACATTAACACTGAATACGAATACAGAAAATCAAAATAGGGCCAAACTCCCAAACAACCCAAGAGAAAACAACTGTGGTCTCCCTACATAATAATAATAATAATAATGTTGATACGCTGACTCATTGAAGGAATCTTTGGTAGCCCAGGCCTTAAAGAAATAACAAAGTTCTCACCAGTACAGACCACACTTTACGAAGGGCTTTATCTACATAATATATGCGACATTTTTTTTTAAAACTGCTCAGTAGAAAATGCACTGAACTTAGGTCACTGGTCGGGACCCGGAAAGAAATGAGTATACACCAGTAATCAAAGGAAATAAAACAACAACAGCAACAACGACAAAAACAACAACAATAATAATAATGATAATAATAATAATAATAATTTGTATGTATATTTCTCTATGCTGCAACCTCATGCAAATTGCATAAACATCACTTTTCAGCCATCTCTGCTTTAAAGAAATTGTGATCAAATAATCCTCACCAGTATATATAGACCTTTATAGACAGATATGCAGACAAGTAGGAATTGACAGTCTCATTGGTTTTTACAACATTTGTATGCACATTTCTCTATACTGCAAACGCATGTACATTGCATAAACTTCAATTTCCAGCCATCGCTGCTTGAAAGAAATTGTGATCAAATAATCCTCACCAGTATATCTAGACATTTATAGACAGATATGCAGACAAGTAGGTACTCACAGTCTGATTGATTCTTCACAGCACTTGTATGTACATTTCTCTATACTGCACCCTCATGCACGTTGCACAAACATCACTTTTCAGCCATCTATTTTTGAAAGAAATTGTGATCAAATGATCCTGGCCAGTATATAAAAATAATCAGGTTGGAATGAAACATGGAAATTGAGAAATAATCACTTGCTGTAATGAAGTGGCAATTGATGTTTTAAATGGTAAACATTGGCCCGACAGCAACTCAAGTGACTCCAAATTTAGTGTTGACTGGTTCACCGTGTTGTCCTGATTTCTTTCCCTTATTTCATCTAAAGGTTCTGGAGGACGCCCTGGTTACAGGAAGGTCTCTGGCCTTCTTTGTGTAAGCAAAAACTAAAAAGGGTTTGAAGAGGACTCGCTGTTAAATTGTCTAAAGTTCCTTTTGCTATTTGTTTTTTTTTTTTTTCACAAATAATTTTATTGTACATTTTTGATTTTATATCTCCCGTTGAAGCCTGAAGAGCAGGAGCGAAACCTGTTCTCTTTGCCAGTTTTTAATATTTCTTTATCTATTAAGTTTTATACTTTTATTTCAATATATATATATAGATATAGATATAGATAAATAGATAGATAGATAGATATAAATTATCGATAGAGATAGTGTGAGATTCATTTTCTCAATGGAGTGAAAAACAAAGAAATCTGAAAAATATGAGATATATATATATATATATATATATATATATATATTGTCCATATTTAGATATAAAGTGTGTAAGAGAGAGAGAGAGAAAGAGAAAGAGAGAGAGAGATATTCAGATAGGTATTGACAAAACGGATATAATTAACGATATTGACCAAACATAGATAGATAGATATTGATAAAACATCGATTGATAGATGGATAAATATACAGAACATAGATATGTAAAAAGAGAGGGAGTGTGAGAGAGAAAAAAGAAATATATATTGTCCAAACTTAGATAGAAAGAGAGACAGAGAGAGTGAGAGATTCGGATAGGTATTGACAAAACGGATTCAAAAAATGATAATTGATTTTTAAAAGAATTTCAAACAGATTTTCATTTTTTTATAAAATGGGAAAAAAAATGGTTGCCATGATCGATTATCTGTCAATTTTGCTGACTCAAAAAAAACCCGAAAAACAAGATTTTTAACGAAAATTTCGGACGTGCAAGGAACAATTAAAAAATGAAAAAACGGATATATGTTGTGACGTGTTAAAATTACTTTTGCGAATTCATTTTCTCTTATTAATAACGTAAACATTTAGACGATAAAATTTTGTTTTCGTCAAGTTTTGGTGTCTTTTCATCATGCTATGCTGTTTTTTACCACGATAATTTGGAGCCAATCAAAATTTAAACCTTAGATCGACCGAATTTGACTTCAAAGGTACAAAATTAAAATAAATAAATATACTTTGCAGAAACATGTGTGATGTTGATATTTTTCAGTTGGTAATATAAAATGGAAAACTTACTTGATGTCTGTCGTTGTTCCAGACGGTTGGTTCTATTACGAGTAAACCCCAATGGTCACTCTTATTTTTAAACTCGGATGATGGAGACGGAATGAAGGTCAGTGCTATGGTGAGTGCCAGAATAAGGCTTCTAAACGGCCACATCGTGAATTGATAAAACATGCGCAAGAGATCTTCAGTGCCTGACGGTGAGCGATCTGTTCTCGTGTACAATAGTTAATTTTAATACATATATAGTCTAAGTAACGGTCACAGATAAGAACTATTTCTATGGTTTTGCATACCTACTATGCTATGTAAATTTATTGATCAAATTTTTAAAGAGAGGGAGTGAGATATTTCAATTTGAGAATTTTCCAGCCAATTGTCACAATGTCATTGGGTATGGAATTGCCCCCAAAATACTGGGCTTCTGAGGAGGTGCTGTTTTTATAATCCGCATTCATCTCAGTTCATGACATCAGTCGAAATATTATTTAACCATTTAGTTTTCTCTTGTGTTTGCCATCTCCCTTCAGGATGTTCATAGCTCTTCACAGCCTTCTCCTTTTTGCCCATAGCAAAGTTTAAACTTGCCTGTCACCAAACTATCCAACATCCATTCATATAAACGATACAGTTAGATGACAAGCAGACTTCTGAGAACCTATTCTTTTTCGATATATTTTGTGAGTGTCAGATTCTCAAGCCCTCATCCTCATTATATGCCCAAAGAAATTTCACCTGTTTCTTTCTGATTCTCTTTTTGAATCTGTTTCCCTTAAGACTTCTTAGTTGCTTACTCGCTCCGTCGATTGAATTCTCAGTATCCTTCTGTAAAACAACCTTTCTGTTTCTTCGAGTTTTCTCACCATATATCAAGAGATTGTCGAGCAGTCATAGCCATATAAGATTGATCTTCAATGGATTTCTATCGACAGACAGCAATATTAAGCAACATATCAACATCTTTATTTCTTTCTATTGACAGTCGGTAACACTGAGCAACAAGTGGTCATCTGTTGTTGTTTCTGTTGACAGCAACATTGAACAAAATATGACCCTATATTTATATTTATATAGGGACATATTTTAATATATATATATATATATATATATATATATATATATATATATATATATATATATATATATATTACATACACAAACATATGTATGTGTGTGTGTGTGTGTGTGTGTGTGTGTGTTTATTTAGTTATATGGAGTCATATATTTCTATTGTTTCAACCATGTTTCCATCTGAGGAGATGCTTCCGGTCATATCACGCAGAAACGAGAAACATCGGTTCTCGATTGATTTCCGAATTTTAAGCAATGAAAAACCTGGTCAGTATCGAAATGGGTGACCTTCTGAGAATATCAGGTGTTGTAAGATTGGATGTCCGATGGGTATGGCTTATGGTCATACCGTGTTGAAAGACCAGTTCTCGTAAGATCGCCAAAGTTAAGCAACAAAGAGGCTGGTCAGTATCGAGATGGGTGACCGTTTGTGAATACCAGGTGTTGTAAGATTGGATGTCCGGTGGGTATGGCTTATGGTCATATTGTGTTCAAAGACCGATTCTCGTAAGATCACCAAAGTTAAGCAACGTCACGCTTGGTGGCGACAGCTTGGGAATAATAGGCGTTGTAATCTTAGAACTGCGGATGTAAAGAAAAATGACTCGGAATTTTTATTCAGAGAGCCTAGTGGCAATTCCTTACGGTTTCGTTATATTCACTTACGCGGAAATGCCGTTGTTAAATGTATAGATTCTTCTCATCTCCTCCGTTTTTAATGGGTTAATTAGTAAGTTTTATACTTTGTATCACTAAAAATAGTATTAACTCAAGAATAAGAAGATAAACTACCTAAGGAGGGGGATGTTATAACATCATAAATTATTGATGATCAATGGAGCAAAAAACAAAGAGATCTGGGAAATATGGTAATATATATATATATATATATATATTGTCCAAGTTTAATATAAATGTGTGTTGAGAGAGATAGAGAGATGAGAGAGATATTCAGATAGGTATTGACAAAACGGATATAATTAACGATATTGACCAAACATAGATAGATAGATAGATATTGATAAAACATCGATTGATAGATGGATAAATAGACAGAACATAGATATGTAAAAAAGACAAGGGAGTTGGAGAGAGAGAAAAAGAAATATATATTGTCCAATATCATTTAGATACCCTAAACCGAATGGAATTCGGATAAATATCAACAAAACGGATTTGAAAAAATGATAATTGATTTTTAAAGAATTTCAGTCGGATTTTCATTTTTTTATCCGTGTTCCGTTTATGATCGATACGGTTTTTTTGTTGACTCAGCCCGGCCCTGTAAAAAAAAAAGATTTTTTATTGAAAATTTGGTGGACGTTGAACGATTAAAAAATGGAAAAACTTAGAACTGTTTCCTTTCTCTTAATAATAACATGAATTTTGACGTCAATAAAATTTTGTTTTCGTCAAGACGACGTCTTTTTTCATCTCGACCCAAAAGAAACTATAGTTCCTAATTTAAACCTTAGGTTCATTGAATTTTTTGTAGGTAAAAATATCTGGAAAATAAATAAATATACATTTGCAGAAAAACATTTTGATTTTGATAGAGAAATCCATGTTAAAATGGAAAATTACTTGATGTTGTAATTGTTCCAGCCGGTTGGTTCTGAACGAAAATATCCCAATGGTCACCCTTATTTTTAAACAAGGATGATGGAGACGGAATGGACGTCCTTACTATCGAAAGTAAACTGGTGTGCCAGAATAAGGATTCTAAAGGCCAGATGGTGTTTTCATAAAACATTGGCAAGATATCTTCAGTGCCTGAAATAAAGTCTCGTGTACAATTGTACGTTTTTTTTATAAAGAAAATAATGATTTGATAAGAACTGTTTTTTTAAAAGCTAAAAGTAAATTTACTGATCAAATGAAAATGACTTGGAATTTTTATATATAACTTGATAGTGGCATTTAACGGTTTCGTTATATTGGTTACGCGGAAATGCCGTTGTTAAACCCAAACCATTCAACCATCCAAACCAAAGCAAAGGATTAATTAGTAAAGAAAAAAATCACTAAAACAGTATTATCCTTGATACAAAACCATAAAAGCTTAACAAAATGTTAGAACAATCATAAATTAGACTGTATTAAAGCATTATGTGATGGATAGTACATTCATTCAAGATTTATAGATCTTATTAGGCAATATAAAAAATTAGCAAAATTGAGTGCTAATATAATTAAACTATTATAAAATGTTCTGTAATAAATAACATGACAGAAAATTTGTTCTTGTGAGTAGAATCTTAATAACATCAGTATAGAGATTTTTTTTCTATTCTGTATACGGTTTTATGTTATATTGAAACATGTTGTTGAATCATTGCTGAAACAACGGATAAGAGGGAACAAGTTGTGGTAAAAAGATCTGAACAGCAGTGTTTTTTTGTTTGTTTGTTTTTTTTATAAAGAATGTAATGTGTAGAAGTATTTCGAAATAGAACATGGTGGGGTTCTTCTCACTGTCTGTACAGAATATATATACAATCAGATGGCTAGATTGGATGGGATGAAATGCAGGACACAAGCTGATATTTGACACCAGAATGCATGTTGATATTAACAGAGTCTCGGGTGACAGCTCCCCGACACCGATTTTACAAGGTCTCGGCTGACGAGACTGCACGGGACAATACTCATTTTTGCCAAATCCAAGGCGGTTGGTGAATATCTCACTGTGGAAAACTCCCGGTGTCTTGAAACTCCCAGCTAGCGGACACAGAGGATCCCTAGAAGTTGTCGAAAGGCAGAGTTTTGTCTCGGGTGACAGCTATCGGACCCTGTTTTTTTTTTACAAGATCTACGGGGAATTTTAGTCCGAGACTGCGGGTTCGGATGGCCCACCTCCCGGTGTGCTTGTCAAACTCCCAGATACCGGGCACAAAGGATCCCCAGAAGAGACTGTGTGGAATGCAGAGTCTCGACTCGAGAGGGAGCTATCCGACCCCGTTTTGTTCAAGGTCTACGGGTAATTTTAGTCCGACATGCGGGCTCCGATAGCCCTCAATAAACTCGGCCTCGTGCCACATCCAACTGCGTGGGGCTGTTGCTGAATATCTCACTGTAGAATTGACCTCCAAGTGTGCTTGTCAACCTCTCTGCCTCCGGACACAGATGTTCCCAAGAAAAGACTGGAGACCGCTACCCGACCTCGTTTTTTACAACGTCTACGGTGAATATGAGTCCGAGATTGCGGACTCGGGTACCCTACAATAAACTCGGCCTTGTATTACATTCAACCGCGTGGGGTGGTTGGTGAATATCTCACTGTGGAATTCAAATCCGGGTGTGCTTGCCAAACTCCTAGCCTCCGGGTACAGAGGATCTCCACAAGAGGCTATGGCGAAGGGTCTAATCTCGTCAGCTACCCGATCCCGATTTTACAAGATCTAAGGGGAATTTTAATCCGACACTGCGGGCTCAGATAGCCCACAATAAACTCGGGCTTGTGTCACATCCAACCACGTGGGTCGGTTGCTGAATATCTTACTATGGAATTCACCAATGCGAGTTTTGGGGAATATCTCACTGTGAAATTCACCTCCACGTGTTTTTCAACACTGCCGTCTACAGAGAAGAGACTATGTCGAAGGGCAGAATCTTGTCTCGGAAGACAGCTACCAAACCCCAAGTTTTTGAAAGATGTACGGTTGAACCTGAGTCCGAACGGCGGGATCGGAATCCGCACAATAAACACGGCTCTGTGCCACATCCAACCGCGTGGGGCTGTTGCTGAATATCTCTCTGTATACTTGTCAAACTCCCTGCCTCCGGATGCAGAGGATCCCCAGAAGAGACTATGTCGAAGGGTCTCGTCCTGGGAGTCTACCCTACACGTTTTTTCCGGTGAATACGAGTTTGCGGGCTCGGATACCGCACAACAAAGATCTACAGCCAATTTGAAATCGGACTTCCCAGTGTGCTAGTCAATCTCCCAGCTACCGGGCACAAAGATCCCCAGAAGAGACGAAGGGCAGAGTTTCGTCTCGAGAGACAGCCACCTGTTTTTGAAAGGCCTGAATGAATTCAGGAGGAATTCACGAAATAAACTCGGCCTTGTAGTGATTTTGGGAAGATCTCACTAGTGAGCCAAAATGAGCTGACTCATTTTATAGTTCACCATAATCTATGAATATAGAATCCAGCTCAGTACATAATCTGTTTAATGAAACAACGTTAAAGATTAACACTCACAAGTCAGACACTCTACTGAATCTGATTCTATCGCCAATACCACCAGCAGCTGTTCTGTAATTCTTCAGCCTTCGATATCAAAAGCTGGCATTGAATATTCGGGAAAAAACATGGCCGCGTTTATACACGTCGCATTGAATATTTTGAGCCTTCTGATTGGTTAACCCTATGAAAATAGTCAGCTCATTTTGGCTGACTCACTAGTACACCAAGGTACCTAAAAACTCCAACACCTTGTGGCGGTTGGTGAATATCTGTGGAATTCACTTCCCGGTGTGCTTATCAAACTCTCTGCCTCTGAGGCTATGTCGAAGCGCAGAATCTCGTCTCAGGAGAAAACTACCAGACTCCGTATATACGCAGCCTACGGGGAAGTTTCGGCCTTGCGCCGTATCCGACCACCTAGCTCGTTAGAAAATATCTCACTGTGAAATTCACCTTCAGGTGTGCTTGTCAAACTCTCTACCTCCGGGGACATGGGATCCCCAGAATAGACTATGTCGAAGGGCAGAGACTCACCTCGGGTGACAAGTACAAAACCCCGTTTTTGACAAGGTCTACGGGTAATTTTAGTCCTTGACTGCGGGCACGGAACCGAACAATAAACTCAGCCTTGTGCCACATCCAACCGCTTGGGATGTTTGGTGAATATCTTCCTTCATTTCTCCCTCACCATTAGCAGTTGATTACTTACTACACGCCGCTGGCTAATCTTGTATGTCATTCCTGTTATAAATATTACGTTCACTTCAAACATACGTTTAGGTTAATCTTATTCAATAACTTTTTCCTATGTTACAACACTATGTATTGAATGAAAGATTCAAAACAACATTACAAATCAAACAGACATAACGTAATAAGAAAAGGAAAGAGTATATATCCCAATGGATCAAATAAAGGATTTTCGTTCAACATTGACAATGAAATATAGAGAACGTGACAAGAGGAGGAAAGAGAATATATCCCAATGGATCAAATAAAGGCTTTTCGTTTAACATTCACAATGAAAGAGAGGGAACGTGACAAGATGAGGAAAGAGAATTTATCCGAATGGATCAAATAAAGGCTTTTCGTTTAACATTCATAATGAAAGAGAGCAGTGTGGGTGTGGCTAGACTGGCTCTCTTAAAATTATTATCGAGAATTTGGTTTAAAAAATCGAGAATTTTGTTTTTTTTTTTTTTCCTATCGGCCAAAGCATTTTTACAAACCCCAGATTGCCAAATAATTCTTATCACATC